AGGGACTCAGTCTGTTAAAGCTCTGACTGTTGAGTCTTCGGACTGAAAAACACCAGCAGCCACAACAATACATGAAGAATCCAGTAGACTGCAGCTGCTGGAATTACACAAGTTCTCTCTGATTCATTGAACCACGTCTGTGGGACCTAAATGATTCTGACCCCATTGATGGGTCACTTCTCTGAAGCTGTAGCTGTTAGATTCACGACCTTCTAACTAGCTGCTAACTATAAAAGTCAGAACAACATAAAAGGTTAAACCGTGTCATCTGGAGTAGTTTCTTTAAGTGAGAAACGTTTCATCCCCATCCAGAGGACTTCCTCAGTCCGCAGCCTGCCGACCAGATCTGTCCCATAGGTAGCCTTCACTGCTGTGTTTCAAGCCAACCTCCTGTTGGAATCTTAAAAGTCGACTACAAAACACACGAAGATCAGAGAAGCAATCTCCCATGACCCCCTTAACAACTCAGCAAGGGTAAAGATCTGTTCCACGAGCAGGATGGAAGCCACACTGCTCCTCCTGAAGTGAGGTTTGAAAATCGGTCAGAGCCTCCCTTCCTTCCAACACCCTGAAATAAACTTTCCCTGGATTCTTCTGGTCATTCCCAAGAGTGAGTGGAAGCTTCGAGGAGACAGGACCTTCTCTGTTAGTGCCCCTAAGTTATGGAACGCTCTGCCTTTGCACATTCAACAGGCCCCTTCACTGTCCATGTTTAAAACCTGTCTGAAAAATCATCTCTACTCAGTGGCCTTCAACCAACTGAGACTTGATTTTATTTCATTTGTATTGGTGTTGATTTTATCTGTTTAACTCATTGTTTAATTGTGTTTTAAATTGAGTTTTTAATTCACTATTGTGTTCTTATCTTTGTACCTTTATTTTTATGCTTTCATTTATCTTATTACTGATGTTCAGCACTTTGTCTCAGCTTGTCAGGGTTTCAGACAGAGCAGGGCAGGAGTGGACCCAATAATACAAGAAAAGAGTCAGGACTCACGGATTTACAACAATAAATACTCTTTATTATTAATAATAAATAATAATAATAAACCAAAAACGCTGACGTGGCAGCAACTTACAAAAACAAGGAACAGATCAGGCTGACAGGACAACACCCAACGACGACGAGACGAAGGACAAGACTCACTGACAGGCTTAAATACACAGACGGACAGGACGCGATTACAAACAGCTGAGGACAGAAGGTGCAAATAATCAGGAATAATGACACACAAGGGTGCACAGATAGGAAAGGCCCACAAGATGGTGCCATCCCTACACAGCTGTGGCTGCTATTAAAGTGCTTTATAAATAAAGTTGATGATGATGATGATGGGGGGGCGAGAATTATGATCCCACATCTGTTGGATCACCATCTCTGGTCCCCCTTTGTAAAAATGGGAGTACCACATCAGTCTGCCACTCCACAAGAGTTGTTCCAATCCTCCATGCAACATTGAAGAGACGTGTCAACCATGACAGCCTTCAGAGCCTTCAGCATCCCGGGGCAAATCTCGTCCACACGGGGTGTTCAACCGCCGAGTAGCTGTTTGACTTCCTCTGTGTCCTCTGCCATGGTAATGGACTTGTTTTCCCCCGAGTCCTCAGACTCTGCCTCCTCAAAGGTGGACATGGTGGGTGGATTAAGGAGACCTTTGAAGTGCTCCTTCTACTGCAGAACAATGTCTTAATTTCTGGTCAGTAGGTCCCAACCCAAACTAATCACAGCCTGGGACAAAGTTCTCCATCTTTTCCTTCTGCAGAACGAGGGAATCCCCAGATGGCACCCCTTCCAAGACACCATCCAGAGAGTGAAGGTGGATTCCTAGTATTTGTTTGGACTTGGTCCAGCTAAGCCCCAGGATCCAAGGCTCCATCTCCAAGGCTAGATCTGGAGCCATCAGATTGTCAAAAAACTAGAAAATAAACCTGTCTTCATTTTTACCATCAGTCAGTGCGCCACATGTAGGAGGAGCTGAGCTGTTGGTGAACTCTAGAAGACACAAAGTTCCACAGTGAACACAGTTCAACACACAAAGCACAACACAGGAAGTCTCTTCAACATGCTGCCTGTCATCACATCTGGATTCACTCTGATGCTTCTGCTGACTGGAACAGGTTGGATTCATTCTTTGAAAGGACATTTCTGCATTTGAGCTTTCTTCTTCACTTATTTCACCTTTTGTCTTCCGTCAGGAGTCAGCGGTCAAAAGCTCACTGCAGTGAAGGATGAAGAGTCCAGTTTAGAAGGCAGCTCTGTAACTGTGTCCTATACATATTCACAACAAGCAACTGCTGGGGATTATTTCTTCTGGTATCGACAACATCCAGGAAAACCTCCAGAGCTCCTCTTGTACATTTCAGGGCTCAGCATGACAAGGACAGCAGAGTCTCTTAAATCAGACAGAAGATTCTCCACCAAACTGAGAGGGAAACACACCGTGGATCTGCACATCTTCTCTGCTGCAGAGACAGACTCTGCTGTGTACTACTGTGCTGTGAGGCCCACAGAGACAGGAAACA